GAAGCTGTTCTCTGAAATCCCCTTATCTGCCTACAGTCCTGACTCGCCAAAGAATAGAACAATTAACTCTGGTCCCTTCCCTGAGTTTTCATTAACTGAACTCATATCACAGAAAGAAAAACTGAAGTCCATCAACACACCTAGACAGACTTTTATCGCAACCATTGTCTCCTCTATGGGCCCAACAGACTTTGTCCAGGCCGTTGTGTGTTCTCCAAGTGCATTCATTCTCCCCTAAAAATCATTCAGTATCACTGAAATTGCTACATTTCCCCGATCTCCCCTCCCCTATAAAGAATGGCATACAAGCATCTGTACCCCATTGGGTTACAAGGTAATCATTTTCCTACGATTCCCTGGTGCTATGCATATTAAAATACAATTTGTGTGCCTGTTCTCCTATTAATCTTCCTGTTGTCTGCTGATTTTCAGTGACCCTTCAGGGTGAAGGGGAAGTTTCCCTTGGCGCCTGCGGCGGGTTTGCATTAGCTACCGGTCTCCCAGCACAGTGCTCTTTCCCTCCACTGAGGAGTGGGCCACCTTCACTTCACCTGAAGATCTCACTCATCTCTACCCGCTGATATAAGGCCAGGGACCTCACTGAAATTACTTACTATACTTTTCTCTGAAGTCTAGAAGACACACCAGTGTGAATGCGGCCAAGTAAGACTGATCCAATGTTAAAGTCAGAGGCCAGAAGAGTTAGTCACCAAGTTCATTAATTATTTAGTCACCATCTAAGATCAATACCAATCAATAGCGTAGAGTAAAATGTGACACCATTAAATGACAAATGTGAAACATTCACAGACATGCTGTTCTGGGCTAACGTATCAACCACAATTGGTTATCTTTTCAACTGGTCGGAGACTATCCTACAAAGTACCATTAAAAAACAGTTTCGAAAGGATGAAGAGGCTAAATTATGAATTCTAGGTCCCTGACTCAGTCCAGGCTATCATGATTTTAACAACAGGAGCAAACAAAAGAATAGTTTTAGAATTATATAAGAAAATATTTTTATGCTTCCTATAAGACAATTTTATTTTTAGCCTCTGTGGAATATACTTATAACTTTAGAATAAGCAAGAGAAGTAAAGCAACTACCCCAAATCTTTATTTTTGTTGCACTAGACTTTGGAGATTTACTTGTACATTTTGGTGGTTTAATTTTTTTAAGCAAGTTTCAAGGTTTCTCACAGGTTGTATACAAGCACTCTAATTATGTCAATAGCACTATATGAGCAAATACTATGTTCTATGTTTTTTAAGATATGAATGTGGGATAATACACGGAGAGCTGTCTTTCCATTTGCTTGGGTTGGGTTGGGTTGGGTTTGCTTTTAGCTACAGAAGCTTTATTTTACTACTTGGAGCCATGTTAGCTTAAATCCTTTCCTCCTGTATTTCCCGAGTCTTTCAGCTAATGGAGAGCCTGTTCCTTAGGGAAAAAAATCTGTATTGTACTTAGAGTTCAGATTCTTTTAGACACCACTTTTCTTAAGGCTGATCAGCACTAATTACTGACTACTTCTGTAAGAAACCTGCTCCTACAGAAAGCTGTGAAAAGAAAGGGAACGAGGCCACCCATTAGCTTGTCTCGAAAGAGCTCTTACATCACAGACATGAGGGTTCATGGCCCTCTCAGGGAATAGCTCTCTCTCAAAGAGTCCTAAAATGCAAGTTTCCTCAAATGCATTTCCTTAAAAGATTCCCGCTCCAGTACCTTATGTGAAACAAAGGATCTAGTTGACAGAGACTCAGGTAATTTCTGGCATGTAGAAGCTCTGCTGAAAACAGTTATGGCAGTAAAAAGTAAAACCTTGTGCTGTATGGTGTGTAATCTTAAAAATACAGCCCACTGTATGTGGGATTTTGCTATGAAAAGGTTCCCATTCCCCACCAATTATCCTCTTCTTTTGGCCCAATTTATTTCCCTGTATTCACAAAGACTAACAGGCTTGCAAAAAAAATGCTATGGGTTTTGTAATCGGGTGATATGTTTTCCACTTACTGACAATGTGTCTGTTAAGGGAAACAGAAACACCAACACGGCTCTTGTTGTTTTAGCAAAGCATAGATCTTGAGACGGCATCGTGAAAGAGTAGATATGACTTGTACAATGCAAATACGTTTGCTTATTTTTTTTTTTTTGAGACAGAGTCTCACTTTGTTGCCCAGGCGTCAGCCTAGCTCATAGCAACCTCAAACTCCTGGGCTCAAGCAATCCTTCTGCCTCAGCCTCCCGAGTAGCTGGGACTACAGGCACGTGCCATCATGCCCAGCTAATTTTTTCTGTATATTTTTAGTTGTCCGATTAATTTCTTTCTATTTTTTAGGAGAGACGGGGTCTCACTCTTGCTCAGGCTGGTTTCGAACTCCTGAGCTCAAACGATCTGCCCGCCTCGGCCTCCCAGAGTGCTAGGATTACAGGCGTGAGCCACCGCGCCCGGCCACGTTTGCCTATTTTTGACGTCTCTTATGAAAGTTATTCAATGCCATTTATGGTCATTTGGTGGTTTATGATTGGTTTTAGGTAAAAGAACTACCAGAAATGAAGAAAGCCAGTATTCACAGAATTTTTCACAGTTATAATTATGCAAGAGAAATAGTAGTTATATTGTATCAACATACCATTTTCTAATGTATTTCATTTTGTAGGCTGGGTGATGGCCATTTGATGGCTGGACTGGTTTTTAGGCCACAATCTCTATGTCTGTCTGCCTGCCTCCCTTCCTATTTATCTGTCTGTTGTTCTTTGTTGTTTTCCCTAGTTGTCAGTGGTAAGTACACAGCATCTCAGAGACATCCTCTGCTAACGCAGCACACTTATGAATATTTGAAGATTAAAACCAGTGTGCGGAATGTCTACAGAAGGAAGTTCTAGCACCATACCACCTCAAGTAATGAAGGGCTTGTTACACAGGAAAACATCTGTATTGTATTTAATCCTCAGCATCTTTTGGGGATCACTTTTCTTTGGGCTCATCAGCACAAATCATCAGCTAGTTCTGTAACTGGATAGGTTTTTGTTACCACAAAATACAGCAGGAAACAAACACTGCAAATGAATGACTCTAAATCTCACAGTTACAAAGCTGGCAACCTCTTATCCCAGACTCTCAATTTTCTTAAGTTCTCAGAAAAAAATTTTCTTTCGGTTGTAACTTATCTTCTGGTCCTCTCCAAACATTCCCAGTTTATGTATTCATGTTATGACACTGTTATTATTTATTCAAAATGAATCACTGGCCAGTTGCACAGAGAAAGGCAATAGCCACTAATCAATGCAAACCAAAATCAGAAGTTTACCTTAGTTCCTTGAAGGGGTCTGCCCTGACATTAGGTGTTTCTATAGATTTAGGGAACACTGTGCCCTCCGCTCCTGTAGACGAAAGAGAAAAGGAAACAGAGGTTGGAGATGTTGCAGGAGTCACCTGGAGGCACAATTAGTACACTGATTGGAGCTAAATGCAGCAAATCCATCATACCACCCAATACCCACATATTTTCCCACTGGCTTTAGGGCTCCATCATAGCTGAGCACTGAATCAACTCATGCAAACAGCCTTTGCAGAAACAAGGAGCTTCTTTTGAAATTGTTCTTGCTGAGATCAGAGTGAGGCCATGAGGCAAATTCCATCTTGGCTTCAGAGAGAAAAAAGTACCTAGAAATGGTAAGGTCTGACTCTAGTCTCTCATAAACTATTAATAATCACCTAACTGGAAATGTTTGAAAACCAGCAGCTGAAGCCCTTTTATGGCAACACAAGGCACAAATCACACAACACCTATGACATTTAAGCAGTGGGGCGGATGGTGGAGAACACAAGAAAGTATTCACCTAATGACAAGCAAAAATTTTTCAGTAAATAAAGTCCTACACTATTGTCTTGAAAAGTTAAGCAAGACAGAACACTATGAAAGATTATGCGAAGTTTGGTGCTTTTACACTTTGAGTATTAACATTGATCCTGAACCCAATCTACACATTTAGCTCTTAACTGTGCAATAAGCTTTTATCTTTACAACTTGTCAACACCAGCTGAACCTTTCCAGCCATAAAGATAGTGATTATCTGATTTGTCTGCTCCCAAAGTGTTTTCAAATCATTTAAGCCTCAGTTTATCGGACAATTGCACTGGATATTAGCTTATCAATTAAACTTAGCTCAGGCAGTATCCTTTGAAGTGAAGATTTTTTTTTTTTTTTTTTTTACACATTTGGTGTACTTCTTTGATGCTGTAAGGAGGGGAAAATAATATCTTGCTTTCATGTGTGAATTTCTAGAATTCTCTTGCATTGTTATAATGTCTAGAAATCCTCCATTCACCACTATTATTCCAAATCTAGACTTATTCTGGCATAATGATAAATTTAGGAAAATTATTTGGTTTCTTTACTTTTGTAGCAATATAGAAATATTTAATCTTTTGGTATGAGTAATAGACTATTGCAGGTAAAATCAGAAAATAATGCATCTATTTAACATTATATATGGTCATTAAAGGCATGTCTTGATTAATAATAACAATGTTATTCTTAACAAACATTTAGAGTGGCTACTATATGCTAGGAACCCTCATGCATATTTCGTATGTACTAGCTCATTTTTTTTCTCTGCAACAACCCCATAAAACCGACAGTTGCAGTAGGCAAACATCACAGAGTATACCCATACAAACCTAGATGATATAGCCTACTGCACAACCTATGCTATAAAGCATAGCCCATTGCTCCTGGGCTACAAACATGTACACTGTACTACTGTACTGAATACTGTAGAC